TCTCTCAAGTTCCACTGGTTTACTCTGTTTCTTTCTCTCAGACAGAATAAAGGCAGTACACAGTTTATATAGTCATTGTCACGTCACACATCGAAAGACATACGTGTCACAAAGAGACAGTCACATCATAGTCATAACATGGAGTCCTTGTAGAGTCCTTGTACAGTCCTGCATGTAGGCCATATTGCTATCTAATACTAACAACAGTATATAACTCTGCACTACTACATATATATATTTTGACTGGTATCGAAGCATTTTCAGCATCTACAGCGAGTTATGTTAGCTAAGAAACATAGCTACTACTTATTTGTATATATTGTGTGTGATCCCTGTGTGCTCTTACTACTGTCCTATATGTGCGATGCAACATCGAAATTTCTTATCTTATCTTATCTCCTTTAAAGGGGCATAATGCAATTTGTTATATTTGACCATGAAGCCACTGGATCTCTAGAAGGTAAAAAATGCTAAAATGTAAACTTTTTATCTCACATGAAAAGTTGCTTAATGCCCTTTAGTGTGTCTGTTATATTATCTTGTATTTGTTGTGTGGTGTTGTTGCTGTCTTTTACAGATTATCATTTGGTATTTGGTATTTTTGCAAAGGTAAAAATGTCTCCTTAAAGACCATTTAAAGGTGACATAACCGTTGAGAACACTTTTACGTTTGTTTGTTTTCCTGAGTGGAATGCCTTACATTGATAGATGTTTTAAGACACAAGAGGCACTTTCTGTGGACACATTAACCCAGGACTTTCGCACACATGTGTGTGCTGGATGACTGTGCAGGCGCGCTACGTGACCAACTGGAGCTATACAAAACATGACTCTAGAGAAAAAAATTGTTTTCCCTTTCTTAAACTTATCCACTCATAAAATGTAACAAGTATCACTTTCATCTAATTTATTATGGAGCTTTAGATATTATCAAAAGGTAAATATGTGTTTAAACGGTTAAACTATAAAGACACAGAGGGGTTAAGCGATCGATAACCTCACAGGTGATTAATTCCTTAATAACTTGTTTAGTGATACCTGAAAAATAATCATAAAGAGGAAAGTGTGTTTGTACTGGTATGATGATGTTCTGTTGGCAACATGTCAGACAAAAAACATGGCTGGCTTCTGTTAAGTTATCAGTCACTCATTAAAGTGTCCCAGAGTAAACTGGAGTGTAGTAGATGTTGGATGACCCATAAATGAGTAGCGTCATATTCCCAGATTCGGACTTCCGCAGTCATTAGCTCACAAAAGCTAGTTTGTTAAACAAAAGTAATTTTTCAAATCCAATGCACTGTTTTAATGCAGAGAAATCCATTGAATCCAATGCACTGCAAGGTCCTGCAAGGGAGCGTCAACAAATGTCCAGACCAGCTTTGTAAACGAACAATAGCTTTTACTGAAGCCATGTACACACACTAAACTCTCAATGTAAATAATGACCATGTCTAACTGCTACAGACTTTGATTTCAACATTTGTGAGTTTTTTTAATGAATACATGTTTTTCTTTTTTTATTTGCTTTTACAGTAAATGGTCTTTACTGTAACATCCATAAATAATTTATGTTACAGCATGTCTTTTTTATATTTTTTATTACTAATAAGCATGCATGAAGTCCTTAACCAGTCAAAGAGTTCTACCTATTTATTCAATTTCATTTTTGACTAAGGATTTGTTTGTTTTTTTATATAGAGTCAATAAATTACATTCTAAAAACTGTGATAATGAATGTCCATGATTCCTGTGTAGATTAAAATTAGGACATAAAAGAGGTCAACCCGATCCACCGAAATGGTGTCCCTTATTTTTTTGTTCTCAAGTTGGCAACCCTATTGAGCGGAGTGTACGGATGGCTATGGCCAGGCTAATCCAGACTCTACTTCACCTTACTTTCATTTTTTGTCGGCATTGGGATGAAAGCTCTTTTCTAATATGGTTACGATGACCCTTCTGTGGGATATTAACATTAAAAAGGATGAAACTGTTAAGAGATAAGAATCCTGAAGCATCTTGAGAATTTATGTCAGTTTCGCATTGGCCATTTTGGTGAAGACAGACACATGCATCCTAAACATAGACCTGTGTGCTGGGTCAGAAAATGAACAAAAGAGAAGCTGTAATAGATGTATGACCTACCGCCTCGCTGGATCTTTATGAAGCTCACAAAAATGTAAACAGAAAACGGGTTGGAACACTCCCTGCTCAGTAGAGAGTAATATATTCAGAGCAAACATTGTTTTTAGTAATTTTTTGTCTCTGGGTCCAAGGTTCAAAAGACCCAAAACAAAACTACTGTATATCCCTACTACTACTTTTACATTTTGAATGAAATGACTATATTGACCATTAAACTATATTGTGAAACAAGATGAAAGAATGCTATCTGCTGCAACTCTCTATGCTACCACTCGAGGGATGAGTTGATTCTGTTTTGGTTTTTTTCCAACTTTGAAAATTACCAGATGCAACCACAGCCATCCGACAGTAAAATTACCAAAACTTATTGATTGGCAGTTATCTCTAGTGCGATACATGGTACAATGACACAAGCCTGTAGACTAAAGCACAGAGTTGTATGCTTGTGAATTGTTGTTTGAAAAGTTCTATATATTAACGTGGATGGAGCAAGTAACAACTCCAGGTCTGTTCTTGGTGAAGGAACAATAGTGGAAGATTGTTAAGAGAGAGAAAAACAGTGGAAACCAGAAACTTCACACACGCATGTCTATTGGGTAAATTATATAATATAATTTTACATGAAAAGCTTGAAAAACTGAGGTGTATATTAGAGGGCTCAATCACAACATTTGATGAACCATGGCAGCCATTTCCAAAATACTGAACTAAAGGAAGTGTTACATACCGTCATGATGAGCTTCTCCTTTCATTCATCTGTAATTAAGTAAATTCTTAAATCATGTGCAATGTGCAATACTGCAACTTCAGAATGTCACAGAACAATGTCACTTTACTTATATACTTTTCATCCTGCACTATTTAACTGTACAGTATATAACTCTGCACTACTACATATATATATTTTGACTGGTATCGAAGCATTTTCAGCATCTACAGCGAGTTATGTTAGCTAAGAAACATAGCTACTACTTATTTGTATATATTGTGTGTGATCCCTGTGTGCTCTTACTACTGTCCTATATGTGCGATGCAACATCGAAATTTCCCCACTGTGGGACGAATAAAGGAATTCTTATCTTATCTTATCTCCTTTAAAGGGGCATAATGCAATTTGTTATATTTGACCATGAAGCCACTGGATCTCTAGAAGGTAAAAAATGCTAAAATGTAAACTTTTTTTCTCTCATGAAAAGTTGCTTAATGCCCTTTAGTGTGTCTGTTATATTATCTTGTATTTGTTGTGTGGTGTTGTTGCTGTCTTTTACAGATTATCATTTGGTATTTGGTATTTTTGCAAAGGTAAAAATGTCTCCTTAAAGACCATTTAAAGGTGACATAACCGTTGAGAACACTTTTACGTTTGTTTGTTTTCCTGAGTGGAATGCCTTACAATGATAGATGTTTTAAGACACAAGAGGCACTTTCTGTGGACACATTAACCCAGGACTTTCGCACACATGTGTGTGCTGGATGACTGTGCAGGCGCGCTACGTGACCAACTGGAGTTATACAAAACATGACTCTAGAGAAAAAAAATTGTTTTCCCTTTCTTAAACTTATCCACTCATAAAATGTAACAAGTATCACTTTCATCTAATTTATTATGGAGCTTTAGATATTATCAAAAGGTAAATATGTGTTTAAACGGTTAAACTATAAAGACACAGAGGGGTTAAGCGATTGATAACCTCACAGGTGATTAATTCCTTAATAACTTGTTTAGTGATACCTGAAAAATAATCATAAAGAGGAAAGTGTGTTTGTACTGGTATGATGATGTTCTGTTGGCAACATGTCAGACAAAAAACATGGCTGGCTTCTGTTAAGATCAGTCACTCATTAAAGTGTCCCAGAGTAAACTGGAGTGTAGTAGATGTTGGATGACCCATAAATGAGTAGTGCTGAATATCAGGATATGGCACTTCCCTGTGACAGCGTGACCCCTTCACACTCACCAATGCCACGTAACACATGTAGAGGAAAGAAATAGAAAAGGAAAAAAACCCTGATTGTCAATGAATGAACGACTGGCACCAAAGTGAGAGACTTTGGACCCAAGTGATGAAAGGTGTCTCTGAGGTGTCATCTGAGTGAAACATGTGCTCGCCTAGGAAGGTTATTTTGCGGTTTTATTGTAAACACTTTTTTTGCTTTGGAATTATATAAACCATAACAAAATAAGTATTCAGTGTGAAGAAAATCAATGTTTTACATGTCTACATGCATACATACATTTTGCTACCATGTGATTGGCTGATTAGGAATTTGCATTAAAGTGGAGGTGGATAGGTGTACCTAATAAAGTGGCTGGTGATGAGTGTGTGTATAAAATTAGTTAACACTAAAAAGGGACAGGAAATGTATTTATGGAATAATACCCCACTTTAAATAAGGCCAAGATATTTGAAAACAATTTATTAATCAAAGTTATATAAAATGGACAAAACAAAATTTTTTGATAGACTTCAGCAAAGTCATATTTGTAAAATCAAAGTTCACTGTTAAATATGTGCCGCTAGATATCAGGGAAATTATTTTTTGTCACACCAAGTTTTTAGAAAATAAAAATAAAAAAATGAAACTCACTAAACACTAACATTGAAGCACGTGCCTGTATATTCTGCAATAACATCTGAAGTACTTCTATGTCAAAATGGGCATAATTTGACGTTGTGAAAGTAAACGTACATAATTAAAAGGAAAAAGAGGATTACCTTTTAAAACACAAATAAAAAGCAATGACCTAAACAACTCAGCTATTTACACAGGGAGATGGTTTATTATGAGAAATGAATATTGAAATCTACGCTTGTTGGACTGATATGAGACGTTTTACAAAAACAGGTCAAAAACATTTACGCCATCCCAAATCGCTCGGCACGCTTCAACTTCTTTGCCTGTGAAAAAACAACCGTATTGGTATGAAATCATGTAAACAGACCAAGATTTCAACAACAATTATGAAAGTGGAACATTATACTGTAGTGGTTCAGAGAGAAATATTTAGCTAATCTATAACAAATGTGGATCACACGTTGTCAACATTCTTCATTGACTTTGAGACGGTCTTTTCCATTTGTATAAACACGTGTCTGTGTTCAAAGTACAGTAGGTGCACATGTACATCTACAACATGAATATGTCACATTGTTAACTGAAGTGCAGTCACGCTCGGTTCAATACTTGCCTAGGGAAAAGGAAATGTAATATATGTGCATCCATAGCAGTTTTGAGATCAAAGCCAAGAGAACAGATGGGAGACAATTTAATCATACATTTATGATATTCTATTGTTATAGACTTTTCAGATTGTGGGTTGAGGTTCTCAGTCTACCAGCGTCCAGCTCGGTTCAGGGTTACTTATGAAATAAGCACGTATTTTAAATCTTCAATGCTTTGTCCAAAGAGTTTATACATTTTACTAAAAATATCTTATTTGGGGAAAGAAAATGTTGCGATATGTCGTTATTGCATATCACACAGGATGTCAGGATGATTACCAGCTTGAAATGTTGATTTATCCGCAATTATTGTGAGAGATTTCAAATGTTCCAAACGTATCCACAAAATGTCATAAATTATCACTGCAGCAGACAGAAGGACATTATGTCTTTAAATATTGCATAGATTCTCATTATTCTCTCTCATTACACTTTTGAATGGGCTGGAAACAGCCAAAAGTCCTAAGTAGCTCTGAAACAGTTGTTGTTTTGTGCTTTACAATTGTTATTTTTCTTTTTTTTTTTATACCTGAGATGTTGCTGCAGTGTGTGTTCATGGTTTTGCACTGGTCCAGACCGGAGAAGATTCATGATCCAAACCAAGGGGATTCAGGCAAAAATCCAATGGAGGAATGCTAACTGTTTGGAAAATGCTAATGAAGCATTCAGCTCTTTACTTTGGACTAAAGCAGAGAAAATGGTCCGAACCAAGCGGCTACTCCTCCTTTGCTGCTGTGACATTTTATTATTACTATTGTTAACTTTTTAGAAAGATCAATGTATTTGTTATGTTTGTGTGAATGGATGTGTTTTTGCTGCTACTATACACCTGATCTATCGCTCTCTCTACAATAGCAGCGTTGCCACCAGAGGGCGCACATTCATACCTCCACATCAGGTGACGCTGTGGCAGTTGCAGTTTGAGCCCCAAACCTCTCTTTTCTCTTCTTTAGCTTCTCATCTTCTTCCATCTGTTGGAAATACAACAAAAATATCACAATAATGTTTAAGTGGACAAATATTTCAGTGTTAGTTTATTAAATGTTATTAATTTTAAAGCAAAGCACTGTGCCCAGTGTTGAAATAGTGCAATAAAATGGCATATTTATGGTTTGTGCAGGAGGAATAATCGTTTTGAGCAAAAGAGCAAAACATTTCTCAGACCTATGAAATGTGACTTAATTTCAACTTGATGGAATAGCATTTTTTTTAAGTAAGTAAGTAATCTTTATTTATATACCGCCTTTCACAGACCAGAGTCCCAAAGCGGTTTACAATTGTTATTTTTTGGGCATTTGTCCTCTCACTCCATACAGATGGGAGCGGGGTCGCCAGAATCCGGAGTACCCAGAGGAAACGGGGAGAACATGTAAACTCCACCCAGAAAGGCCCTAGTCCGACCAGGATTTGAACCCAGGACCTTCTTGCTGAGAGGCGAGAGTTCTATCCACTCTGCCACTGTCAGTTCTAGCCTCAGTGACATATTAGCCAGAAACATACAATATATAGTTAATAATTAGCTAATTCAAAACACTTGTTTAGAGGAAATACTTTAAATTTACCTTTTGTGAAATGGAAGAGACGTTCACTCCAAACCGCTCTGCCCTCTTCTTCAGCTGATCAGCACTCACCTTAAAGAGACAAGTACATGTAATTAAAAATACATCAATGACAAATCAATAAAAGTGTTAACATTAGTTTAAAGAATAAAATGTATACAACTTACACCAGGTTTTCCTGTTGCGACAGAACCTACGGTAAACAACAAGGTTTTATGTCAGTATATCATGTCAACTATTTCAATCTAATGCATTATGGCGGGCTCAGGAATTTTAATACTTTCCCTTTGTGGAGGAAATAAATATGCATTTTATATTCACTTCATTGCAATGATTAGATATATATTACTTTCATTTAGAGCGCATCAACAATAGGGAACAACCAATTTGGAACAGATACCATTGTTTAGGGATCATGTTTGTCATATATTAGATAGCCACAAACAAAATAAAAAAACTTCTTTCCCTGATAGTGATAACTTAAAATGGGCTGTTCTTTCCTAAAATTTGGGAAAATCCTCATGAATACCTTTAAGACAATTTTACTTGAACAACCAGTTTTACAACCCACTGCCTGACTTATAAAACATATTTATCCACTGGATGCATGCTGGTCAGAGCTTGTTTTCAATTATAGTGGTAATTTATTTTTTGTGAAAGACCAAAAGTACCTAGGGCGGGACTCTTTGCATCAGCAGGAAGGCCGAACCTGAGAGAAACACAAGTAATTTAGACATGGTAAAATGAAAGAGCCACATTGTATAAATATGCAAAAATCTCCTATATAAAAAGGAGTTCTCACATAGGTCAAACTCTGCACGACTACGCCCAGTTTTCACACTCTGAAAGTTAGTAATGTTGAGCTGCTAAAGCAGACTAAGCTGGGCCCTACTTATATGAATGCAAAATGGGACCGCCTCCCCCTCACTAAAAAGTATAGAGCTGAATTTACACAAGCCAGGCCCATGTGAGAACACCTTTTATGTTCAATTGAGTGACCTGGCTGCACGCTGGGCCTTCTTGTTCTCCGGAGTCGCTGGCATGTTGAAACGCTCTGCTCTCTTCAGAAGTCTCTGCAACAGTAACAATATACAAACGTAAGATCCACTTCAAGACTTTTTGGACATAATTAGGGTTTCGCAAAGCATAATATCCTTTTATGTATTTAAACATATATTGCTAATCATTTTAAAAAGCAGGTGACAGCTGCTCCTAAAATGGTTCAGAGTCCTTGTTCTGCTCTGGCAGGAGACTCACCAGTGCTTTCTAGAAACTAATTAATTGGAGGAATTAATTGAGTTCCTCCAATTAATTAGCCATAAATAAGCAACAATGTCAAAGCAAAGGAAGGTTTCTCACCCATCATCTGTACTTCTTAGCAAGTTTTCCCGACGTTTCGTCCTCAACCTGGGGACTTCTTCAGGGAATGAATTCTCGGACCGCGCGTTGGAGATTTATAACGCGCGGTCCGAGAATTCATTCCCTGAAGAAGTCCCCAGGTTGAGGACGAAACGTCGGGAAAACTTGCTAAGAAGTACAGATGATGGGTGAGAAACCTTCCTTTGCTTTGACTAGTCCCTGTACGACTGAGGGCTTACACAAAGCAACAATGTCATTAAGGCTAGGATCCTGGTCCTGCTTAATTGACTTAGAACAGATGATCTGTCCCAGTGTCAGTGAGTTATGTCCAATTTGGACATTTATTTGCGTCTACTAACTGGTTAGGTGATCTCATTAAAATTTTTAAAGGGTTTAAATAAACAACAAACTGAAATCATTGTTGATACAAAAGGACAGTTTGAAAAAAACAAGTATGACATACTTCACTGGATGATGGAGGTTCAATTTTCACCACTTTTTTAGCAGCTCTGTGAAGGAAATATAAAAAGATAAAACATCAGTTTTATGGAAATCACATAAAAATGACAAAAAAATGACATTGAGCTCACTCATCAGATTGAGGGGTGTCTGGAGCTTTAGACATCTTCACTGGACTCGCACTCTCCACTTTAATCATGTCCTGAAAAAACAAACCGCTCTATTTTATCATAATCCAAGGGAAAAAAGTCAAAATCTTCAAGTCCTTGGAACATACTCAAAAATTGTATTTAAGTTTTTTCAACGCTCTAAAAACTATCCACAAACAAAGAGCCCTTTACCTCTGCATCTTCTGCGAGAACATCGTCGACATCCACATCTTCCTCTGTAGAGATAAAATCATGTAAACATTTATTATTGTTATTTAATATTTAAAATAAATATATGTAATAGGGGTGTCACAATTCTACAAATGCTCAATTTGATTTTTGATTTAAGGGTAATGATTCAATTCAATTTTTTTTCCTTTTTCTTTCAAGTAAACTAATTAAATGTTTAAATCCAGCATTTTCCACCATAAGGCTGCAGACCTGCTGCTATAAATAACCTTGTCAATATAAAGCTAATTAGCGCCTATCCACTAAACCAGGGGTCCACAATTAAATTGGCACGAGGTCCACTTACTTGATCAGTTCAATAACTTAGGGTCCGGACATCATACAAATAATTCATTTCATAGAAATCCGTTCAAGCAATTTCTTTCATATGAAATGATTTGAAAATTTTAAAACAACTACAGTAGTAAGAATTATTTGATAAAAATACAAAAAATAATAGGTGTATTTAATTCACACAAAACATTAATCTCCTTTGTTTATTTCTACACAACACACCACAAACCTCTCCCAAACTCTCAGAGCAGAGGCTGCAACACATGTTAATTGTGAAGGATAAGAGGATCTGGCGGACTTTTTAGTTTAAGTGCTTCTTTCCATCAAATAATGTTTCTGTCATTGCCTCCCTTCCTCCTCCTCCAGCACTAAAGCTGGGCATACGCCGTTTGCTAATGCTTTTAATTTGTTTTTGATAGAGGTGCACCGATCAGGATTTTTTTGGCCGATCACCGATCATTAAAATGTTGATCTGCCAATCTGTCATTGCCGAGCCGATCAAATATTGATAATATATTTGATTTCATTTCTTGATAAATGAAAAGGACTAGTTATTCACTTTATAACTAATCTTTCAAAACCATCAAGGTACTAGGTAGTATAAATAAAATGCCCTAGGGGTACTCAAGACAAAAAGGTTGGGACCCACAAGTATACATTACAGAGCATTGAGATACATAAAAAAAAATGCTATGAAATACAGCAATACTGTATAGGTTTCATTTCTAAACTGATTAAAAAGAGATAGTTAAGGCAATGTTTTTCTTCAGCAATATTAGCATCTCAGCATTTGCAGGGGTTAGTTTAATACGTTTATCATCCTGAATAGTCCCGCTGTGCTAAACAGCCGCTCACTGTCTGCACTTGTGCATGGAGCGCAGAGGAAAGCTTTCGCTGCTTTGGCCAAAGCAGGGAAGCGCCTTTTATTTTCCTTTCAATAAACAGGCGGCTGTCTGCTCCAAGGCGTAACTACGTAGTTTCGCTAAGTAACGCACAGACACAATAAGCGCTACAGTGATTGTCAATGCGCTCTTTGATTTCGATGTTCGAGTCGAGACCATGATGTAATTTCGATAAAAAAATTAAAAAAACATTATGACACCCCTAATATGTAATAATAGATTAACAGGTTCTGACTTTTTGGCAAAATTACACCATTAAAGCCCCAGTGTGTGCAATTTTTTTATTATTTTTTACATAGTTGAAAAAACAAACGCACACAGGCTACGGGACGAATTGAAAATTTGGTGTGAAGATGGGATGTAGGAACCCCAATTCAAATAATGGAATCACCAACTAAACTGACCATTGTAGCAGTAGGCCTACTAATAAAATTAAACACTTATTAATGTATATTGTCAGTTGCTGACTTCAAAAACTCTTGCATTTCTTCATGGATAAACTATACTGAATGTTAGGAAAGTGAACAAACCATGCTCGTCCAGATAGGCCTGTAGTCGTGCAATGAGTTCTCCTTTGTTTCCTTTGGTCTCAAGGCCTCGGGCTTCACACTCCTGCCTCAGCTCTGCCAGCTACACAAACAGAGGAACAAAATGGAAACAACACAAACAGTAATACATATATTATCAAATAACATCCTAAACCTTGTCACCCAAACACTTGTATTTAATAATATATGCATTGATTATATAAGGTTATTATAAGTGTCGGCATTGAGAGACCTCTACCATCGCCTATTAAACAATAATAATACTTCTATTAATCACAAAAGGCCTGCTAATGACCAAAGTGGGACACGTTTAAGGAGGATATGAAAGCATAGATAGAATGGCAACAGAAAGGTGGCTCCGCTGTTAGCATTGTTGTACTATATATAGTAAATCATATTTTTTTTAAATCAATAAAGAATGTTTAGCGTAATTATTCCATAAAGCCCATACACAATCTGTACTAAAACCAGCCTCGCGTTATTAACAAAGTGCTTCTTAAATAAGTGATGCGAATGCATTCTGGATTCACCCTTTAGACAAGTGAAACTGGAAATTAAGCTTTATATTCAAACACATTTGGTTAAAATATGAATGGGTTGTAGTAGTGTGGTAGCAGTCAACAGCGGCTAGCATTTAAGCTAACTGCATGAGCAGCGTGAACACGCCTGTGAATTAAACATATTACGTAAGACGCCGTTTCTAAAAGTAACTTTCTATCATATAAAACAAACAACGTCTTTCTCAAACGCGTGTACACCCCGCTCAGAATCAGTTTATTGTGTTAAAAATGAATAAATGGTGCAAACCTTGAGCTTCTGCAGTTCTATGACTTCTGCCATGTTTCTTTGTGTTTCCTTGAGTGTCCTCCAATCACAGAACAGCACTGTCTGCTTCTGTTGCCCCTGCTTCCGGGACAGAGACCCCGTGTGGACAGGACATGGAACAGGCGGATCAAGGATGTGACTACAGTCTTTGGTGAGGACGCTGGGAACTCTATGGCCGGTAATCGAGATTAAACTGCACTAGAACAGAATAACATGCATTGGATAACAACCATAGCAACCATGCCTCATGTTATTGCAGTGACAAAAGGAAAACACCCAGATCCCTACCGTGAGCAGGCCTTCTCCACAGACCTGACTCATCAGAGAAGGGCTTCCAGTTTGTTTCCTATGTACATGTTGTTCTAGTAATGGTAAACTAGTAATCATTCACATATGGGGATACAATTCATGTATTTTGTATAATTTCAATCTATAACATATAATGTGGTTAAAACTGTGCTTGAGGTGATGTACCACCTGCAAAATGGTGCACAGAGGGGCTGCTTTAACCAAATAGGGAACATTAACCAAATGTGCCTATTCTTGATTTTCAGCACCCTGTTCCATACATTTTGAGGACCGTTTTCCACCCAAAAGATACAAAAGATGATTGGTACTGGCCAATCACTAGTAGTTGTCAACTACAGTCCTCTGTAGTAAGTATTGTATTATTATTTTCATTTCATTTCAACGCCTTTATTTGTCCATTTCTGGGTCGGGGGGGTGGCAATGAGAGCTGCCACCCAATGCTCATAGCATAGCACCAGTCCCTCGCAGATTTTCTGCAGGGGGTGAGTCCACAGGAAGATGGCTGCTCCATCAGTTGAGAAACCGGCTTGATCTTTCAGCGGGGGGCTTCAGGCAACGTGGGGTTAAGTGTCTTGCCCAAGGACACAACGACAGCAGTCATCAGTGGGAGCAGTTGGAGTAGGTCACATGGTGGGTATCGAACTCACGACCTCCAGGCCCAAAGGCCAATGCTCTACCAACTGAGCTACTGTCGCCCCTATTATTATATCATTATTTATTCTACAAAAAGCAGGAACAATTTTACAGCATAAATAGACAATTCTAAGGGTTTAGGCTTGTTAACAAATCATTCTAGAAAAACAAATAGAAGTATACACAACAGATTGTAAATACATGTAGGTTCCACTTATTACAACTGTGTTTCATAATACAAATATAAAATATGGACAAATTTACTCTGTAGATACAAATACCAAAATATATATAAATATATCTGATTGCCATTTCATCATCTTCATCAATTTTTTGTTTCAGACTCATGGTTCAGGATAAGACAAACACCCATCCATCCATCCATCCATTTTCTTCCCCTTAATCCATTTCTGGGTCGGGGGGGTGGCAGTCAGAGCTGCACCCAGTACACAGAGCACCAGCCCCTCACTGATCCTCCCCCAGGTGATGAGTCCACAGGAGCCTCTTTCAGCGTGGACTTCAGGCAAAGTGGGGTTAAGTGTCTTTCCCAAGGACACAACAACAGCAGACATCAGTGGGAGTCGGTGGAGAAGGTCTTGTGGTGTCACGTAACATAAAAACACAAAACAACACATATAATCACATAAATAAGCCTCACTCCTCAGAGGAAACAACTGTACCACAGATCTGACTGGTACTGCGTGGCACTGATTTTGACATTTGTCAGGCTTATAATAATAATATTCTGGCTTCCTTTGAGCCGACAGATAAAACCATGCATCAGACATCGAAATCTGCCTGAAATGTCCTAATTCTAGCGGACACAAACAGGGTACTTGCACTTTCCCATCTTGGCCTTTTCAATAAAACCCTAGGCAGTCATTGTATGCCACCGTGAGTTTGCGGATGGTTGCTTTTTTGTATTTAGTCCACAGCATGTTTGCATTAGCGTACATCAAACAACATTGCCTGAATATGTCCTCATCATCACAAATAACTTGTAACAACACTGTACAGTATTTGCATAGACACAAGGGAGGCATGTACATCAGCTGTACTATTACACTGGTCCCATCATGACCATGTTAGTATACCAAGCCTCACTAATATACATCTTATTTGGCAGTAAACTTTGGCTAGACAGAATATAGTCATGATCATCACACAATTGTATTGAATATTGATTCAAATATTTAGTTATTTGCCGGCCCTACTATAACTATTCCGATGAAAGAGGTCAAATTGAAAAGGTTTCTTGAATGTGAACATTGTTTAAAACTGTCACGATTTGGTGCAACCCACAGTTTCAAAGCCGGAGGAGTTTATGAGTCACAAGTCTCACTGTAATCCACATTAACTTTACATTCCTCCATTTTTATCCAGGACTCCAGTTCTGTGTGTAAGCTATTGTTCACAATACAAGTGGCACAGAAAAGAAAACGCATGTTAAAATAAATAGTAAACTCCACAACAACAGATGTCACCATGTCATATGAAGATGATTGTGGGTAAAGAAAGAGTAAAGAGAAGTTGTGTGCAGTCGCTCGCTTACAGTAAGAATGTACAGTGCCTTGCAAAAGAACCTTTCAACATTTCGCCACATTTCAGGCTTCAAACATAAAGATATAAAAATTTAATTTTTTGTCAAGAATCAACAACAAGTGGGACACAATCGTGAAGTGGAACAAAATTTATTGGATAATTTAAACCTTTTTAACAAATAAAAAACTGAAAAGTGGGGCGTGCAATATTATTCGGCCCCCTTGCGCTAAAACTTTGTAGCGCCACCTTTTGCTGCAATTACAGCTGCAAGTCGCTTGGGGTATGTCTCTATCAGTTTTGCACATCGAGAGACTGGAATTCTTGCCCATTCTTCCTTGCAAAACAGCTCGAGCTCAGTGAGGTTGGATGGAGAGCGTTTGTGAACAGCAGTCTTCAGCTCTTTCCACAGATTCTCGATTGGATTCAGTCTAGACTTTGACTTGGCCATTCTAACACCTGGATACGTCTATTTGTGAACCATTCCATTGTAGATTTGGCTTTATGTTTTGGATCATTGTCCTGTTGGAAGATAAATCTCCGTCCCAGTCTCAGGTCTTTTGCAGACTCCAACAGGTTTTCTTCCAGAATGGTCCTGTATTTGGCTCCATCCATCTTCCCATCAATTTTAGCCATCTTCCCTGTCCCTGCTGAAGAAAAGCAGGCCCAAACCATGATGCTGCCACCACCATGTTTGACAGTGGGGATGGTGTGTTCAGGGTGATGAGCTGTGTTGCTTTTACACCAAACATATCGTTTTGCATTGTGGCCAAAAAGTTCGATTTTGGTTTCATCTGACCAGAGCACCTTCTTCCACATGTTTGGTGTGTCTCCCAGGTGGCTTGTGGCAAACTTTAAATGAGACTTTTTATGGATATCTTTGAGAAATGGCTTTCTTCTTGCCACTCTTCCATAAAGGCCAGATTTGTGCAGTGCACGACTGATTGTTGTCCTATGGACAGACTCTCCCACCTCAGCTGTAGTTATCTGCAGTTCATCCAGAGTGATCATGGGCCTCTTGGCTGCATCTCTGATCAGTCTTCTCCTTGTTTGAGATGAAAGTTTGGAGGGACGGCCGGGTCTTGGTAGATTTGCAGTGGTCTGATACGCCTTCCATTTCAATATAATTGCTTGCACAGTGCTCCTTGAAATGTTTAAAGCTTGGGAAATCTTTTCGTATCCAAATCCGGCTTTAAACTTCTCCACAACAGTATCTCGGACCTGCCTGGTGTGTTCCTTTGTCTTCATGGTTCTCTCTGCGCTTTAAACAGAACCCTGAGACTATCAAAGAGCAGGTGCATTTATACGGAGACTTGATTACACACAGGTGCATTCTATTTATCATCATCAGTCATTTAGGACAACATTGGATCATTCAAAGATCCTCACTGAACTTCTGGACTGAGTTTGCTGCACTGAAAGTAAAGGGGCCGAATAATATTGCACGCCCCACTTTTCAGTTTTTTATTTGTTAAAAAAGTTTAAATTATTCAATACATTTCGTTCCACTTCACGATTGTGTCCCACTTGTTGTTGATTCATTACAAAAAAAAATTAATTTTATATCTTCTTTTATAGCCTGAAATGTGACGAAATGTTGAAAGGTTCAAGGGGGCCGAATACACTGTATATATTTTAAATTAAAAACATCCTGAAAGAAACGAATACTATTTTTGGGCTAAAAGTGCTTTAATTTAAAGCAAAGAAAGAAAAACAGCATTCTCACCCGTTTAATTATCTGGAAAATTCATTCTGAAATAAGATCAATTATTTTCCTTCATCACAGAGTTCAGTAAATTATCAACTAATGTTTACAATGTTTTGCATGTCACATATAATAAAAAATGGGTTCAGTTTCACGTGGCTCCTCAAATGTTTTTTTGTGTAAATCCGTTTATAATTGGCAGCGCTTTAAGGCGAAGCCAAAATTCAGTCAGGTGGCAAGAAATCAGATTTAGGCAACGGTTTGTGCAACTGGCAAGTCATACAAGCAATTAAAAAAAGTAGGGAAATTGCTTACTTTTTCATGTAGGAAACTATTACTCAAGTACATTTGCCACCGCTGCTAATTATTTGTTTCCGTGCAAAAAGAAACATTCTTATAGATTATTCTCCATTTTCTATCCACTCATGTGCAAACCTAATCTATGAACACTGTAAGCACTGTAGAATATAGTTTATAAGTCATTTTTTCTTGCCCTAGAATGTGGAGAGGAGGAGCTGGCCTGGGGGATTTGGAGGATGCTTGGAGGCGTTACTTGGGTAATATTCAGAGGTCAGGCTTAAGAGAGGATATAAAGGCATTGACCACTGCTCTGTGTTCACAAAAGGGATTTTTCATTGACTTTTTACTGTGGTGCTGTGAAAATGCAGGTGACCGTCGGGCTCCTGCTGCTGTTTGTGGCTGGCACCAGTTTGGCAAGTAAGTGGGTCAAGAGAAAATTGCATATCAATGTGATTTCAAATGTGTTAAGAATTTCATATTTTCAACTCTTCCAAGATATTAGTTTAATGACGTAATTTGTGATATTGTTAATTACATTTCTTGATTGTGATCCTGCAATCCATAACATTTTCCAGGTTATCAAAAGAGTACACTAAAGGTTGAAATAGTTTAGAAGAAATGAAGTCCTTAAAATGTTTTATAGAATGAAAGGTTAATCGTCTAAATGCTGAAAAAAGTCCAGATGACCAAGTTCCAAGTATACTTTGGGTTCTCTGCATTTGTGCCAACAGTCAGAGAAGTGTAGGATTTCCTAAGTGTGATTTAACATTATAAATTGTGGAGTAAGTAGGATAAATAAATCCCAAATCTTGATAAAATATTATTTGCATAGCACTAATACAAGAGAAGTGAAGATAAAACTTTATTTGTCTTTCTGCGGGGAAATATATATATTAAAAAAAATATATACCTTAAAGCTGTGGTGCCTATATTTTACGAATATAATAAAGAATAATAGCATGTTGAAATGTAGAGATCTGATTTTTTCACAAAATGTTTACAAGATTCTTTCTGCTTGAACAAAAACTGAGGGAAAATGTAGGTACCTCAACTTTAACAGGCAGTTTTCTTATTTCAACACAGTATTTGTATAATAGATCATTTGTTATGATAGAGCCATGAAATCATTCGATAACTCTGTCGTCATAGAGACATTGATGATATTCATGTGGGGAACAGAAGGTCATTTTTAAAAGTCATGTCAGACTTTTGGATGTCTGAGAGAGGTCCTTGTTTGTTTCTAAAGAATAGGGCAGATAATCCTGGAGGAGATTTATAAACAGAGACTTCTTTCTTGGGCATTATTATCTCTGATGACTCGTCTGATGATCCTGCAGTGACTTATTTGAACAGAATCACTTGTGTACCATTAAATAAATAGCATTCTTTCACAGTAGGTATATGCCAACGGCCGTGATGGCTTTAACTACATTCTGTCTGATGTGAAATGATAAGATATTATTGTGATATTGTATGAAAGATAATGTCTGTAAGTTGTATTTTTAGATAATATATTTAATGTAGTCCCTCTCGTTGGCCAAACCATCACCAGTAATATTATTTGGAGGAGAATAGTTCAAGGAATGGGGAGAAACTTCACCCTTTTTCAATGTCTATTCAGGGAGTGAGTATAGTGGGACTAACCGGTGCTTGCAATAGGAAATTCTCTTTTCACATTTGAAAAGTAACATACTTTATAACTTTCTTTCTTTAAAACTTTATTACTTTCAAATTATGTCCAGGCCATCAGAGCTTGAATAAATACAAATGCTTAAAGCTAAAGTTGTTAAGCTATTTTAAGTATAGAATCATAACATGAAACTAATTCAAATTCTTCAATCCTGACTCATACCAGTACTTTTATGCAGCTTCTTTGTACACATTAGTCATTTGTTTGTGGTATGTGTTTCTTTAATTGTCCTGAAGCCTGATTGCTTTTGGTTGTTATGTGCTTGTATTTAGAAAGTGCATATGAACTGAGCCCCCGAAAGAGGTTAAGGATCTGGATTGAGGCTTTTCACATGACCTGGTTCAGTCATGCGCAAACTGAACGTGAATACCAGAGCTCTAAAGCACAGAGGAACTCATATGCAGTCTATGCTATTTTATTTTCCATACATTCACTCATAACATATTTTTTGTAAAAAAAAGACTTGGAACAATATATAGTAGTGTTAAATGTTGATTTCTCAGACTAGATTCTAAACAGAACATTTGTCTTCATTTGCTGCGGCGGTGGCACAGAGCTGAGGTGTTTTTATTTTTATTTTGCAGAACCCAAAAGCCGCTTCACTCGGTTTCGCTCATGGAACTCAAAGATGTATCCGATCTGGAGAGAAGGAGACACGAGATTTCACAACTCCTGGAAAGGTACAAACAACTCGTGTTCAGAGAAAATATTTAATCATCGGAGAATAAAGCTTTGTGTGTGTGTGTTAGCATTTGCAAGGAATCTTTACTATTTCAAGTCAAGGAATTTGTGTAAAAACATTTCTGAATAGAAAGAAAATCATATAGAATAAATTCTAGAACAATAACTGCAATCAACATATGGACTTTAGTGGGTATCTCATATATGATTTAGTTTTTATTTGCATATGAATGTATTTGTCTCGACAGTCTTGTAAAAAGCACCACTTTGTAAACATATCAGACAACATGTGGTTTTAATCTTTTTAGAAAGGTTTTGCATACTTGTAAGAACCCTGTGAGTCACAATTCAACACTTTGGGCTGAGAGCTGATTGGCTGATGGTGGTGTTCCTCTCTTCCTCTTTTTTTGTTTGAAAAAGTGGATCTAAAGATGTGGCAGAGTCCAAAAAATCATGCATTGATTTGAGAGTGAGGAACTAGTTTGTTAAGTTTGTTACATAATGTACCCTTGCTTTAAATATGTTTGCATAAATCAATCAAAATCCAAGTGTGAAACAAATGCATAGGTGTATCCCCTTTACTCCTTTACTCTTGTGGTTTGACACAGGTGGAAAAGTTTCGTTCAATGTTGAGAATGACTCTCCGACTCTGACTGGAGCTAAAGTGACCTTCAACATCGAGCTGCAGTTTCCTCACGGTCAGAGAGTGCTGCCCCCTGGGGGAGAGGTGGTGTGGGCTCAGGACGCAGAGAAAAATGGTACAGACAATATTATTCATTAGTGGCTTTTGAGACGTATGTAATAATTATCATAACATATACAATGTCACTACAACATAAATACATGAGGTTCACTTCAATGTGACCCCTGATTTTACACTATTGAGTATTGTTTGTTTTATGTTTGTATATCCAGATATGATTCCCAATATCAGAAGAAATGTAATTTACTTTTCTTTTGTTTAATAGGAACCAAGCACTTTTCCTTTGAGCCGGTGTATCCCTCTAAGAGCACAGATGAGGAGCTGTTTTTTCCTGATGGAACTCCAATAAGAGACGACAAGAAACCACAATATGTTTTTGTGTGGAAAACCTGGGGTATGTGGCTCTATCGCTTTACTCTGACAGGTTATAATGGTCCCAAATGTAGTAAAATATGGAGTAATGGGGAAGGCTTCCAATCCAACCTTTTTATAAAATGGTCTGTGTAAAATCTAACTTGCTGCTTTTGAATCAGGATTCTTGAGAAAATATGTTGAAAATGGCACATGAACGCACAGCACTAACTTCTGTACTGGTGCATCACTTGGTACCTGCAGTACAGTACCAGCACCAGTAGACGTGTTCATTTATTCTGAAGATTTGAGCTCTTTTACAAATATTTACTACATTTAGAAGCTTTGTTCAACGGATTTTGAGAGCTGCAGCCTTGTGGTGTTCCACAGACTTTTATACTTATGTTGTAGGGACCTACTATTCTTACTTGAGTTGTAAGATATTTGAGCGTGTTGCAGGACTCTTGCTTGAGTCATTTAGTCGACAGTGACTCTCCACTCAACCAACTTTTTGTTTTGTGCACAGTTTCTGCACGGTTATCTGTTTATGTGTCCAATTTAGTTCCATTGTATAATAACTGCAGATATCAGCGGTTGCATCCAGTTCTTTTACTCTTACTTGAGTAATATTACAACTCTACCTACCTCTGGAAGCTGGAACAGCAGTACAAGTATTTGTTGTAAATCTAATCCTTGTGTGTCTCATGGGTAAAAGTTCTGTGGATTCTAAAGTAGCCCGTATGAACCGATTATAGCACTTTATTCATTCTGACCCAGGGCTCTCTGCACAGACCTGGTTTTGTGTCTTGCCCAAACACAGGGGTGCTCATTATGTAAAGTCAACTTTTTTGACTTTTAACTACTGTAAAGCCTTTTTATCTCATCAATAACGTACCCTGATTGTTTTTTGCTTTGTGTGACCATTGTATAAGAGGATTAAGCAAACATACTTCTAAAACAGTAAGCGGCAAAGAAAAGGTTAAAAATGGTGTTCAGGGACAATCATAGTATGTACAGTATATTTGCTCATTTCAGTCTATATCCAAGTTATACATCCGACTACCCTCTGGTCTAATCTTAGTCATGTTTTCATGTTTCAGATCAGTACTGGCAGGTTTCAGACGGCCCGTGTTCCTCTCTCACCATCAGCACAGATGACATGGCTCTGGGATCTTATGTCATGGACATTGTGATTTACCACTACAGAGGCAGACAGAAGTTTATACCTCTGGGATACGCCTCCACGCAGTTCTCCATCACTGGTTTGTTTTTGTTGATGTTCTTTTGTGACAAAATTATTTTGTGGCACAATTTATAGCACAGCGGGAAATGGATGAATATTTATCATGAATATTTATCAAAACATCATTTGGACAGACTGCGTTCGCAGTGAAAGGGCCACAGCTTTGGAACACGTTACCTGCAGAACTGAAAGCCCTAACAGACTTGAAGGAGTTTAAAATTAAAGTCAAACTATGGCTCAAAAGGACCCAAACTTGTGAGCATAATGCAAGACTGTAATCATTTATTGTATTCTTTTTTTGTTTTTGTTTTTGTATTTTGTATTGTATTCTTGTTTATTATTTAGTATAACTTATTACTTATTTTTTTAATATAATGATGTATGTATAATGTAAATGTGATGTATTTCTAGGTTTTAGGGACCAGGTCTGCAAACTAGCTGTTAGCTATACGGCCTATGAACACAGCATCGGTTCCTGTAACAATGCTTCTTGTTCTGTCCCTATCAAATAAACAAATAATAAATAATAATAATATGTTGGACTGAAAAGCAACACAGATCATGCAATAGATTAGATAGAGGCATTTTTATAATAAAGCAGACGGGAACAATGGAAAAACATACCATGCAAAACAACTAACTTGACTAAAACTATGAGTATATAGTAGTAGTAAGTAAGTAAGTAAGCTTTATTTATATACCGCCTTTCACAGACCAGAGTCACAAAGCGGTTTACAATTGTTATTTTTTGGGCACTCTCACTCCACACAGAGATGGGAGCGGGGTCGCCGAACAGGAGGCGCATGCCAGACCTATTGTACATATTTTTAGTGGTAGGGGAAACCGGAGTACCCGGAGGAAACCTACGCAGACACGGGGAGAACATGCAAACTCCACTCAGAAAGGCCCTGGTCCGGCCGGGATTCGAACCCATTTATAAATAAAGTATAAACATGAATGAATGAAAGGACTAAGCGGAGACAACTCTAAATTAGTGTATCAAGCTCTTACGAACACTGCAGTTAATCAACTAAACGGTTGATTAATATCTCACACCCCAATAGCATTTAGAATGAATGCTCTCCAATTACTTTAAATGTACATTTACTTAAAATACTTACCCTGCTTCTTTTCCTCTTCCAGACCAGATTCCCTTTTCCGTCTCGTTGGACCAGGTGAACGATGTGGCAGCTGGAGATTTGCATTTTGTTCAGAACCGTGCGATCGCGTTCACCGTGTCCTTACATGACCCAAGCGCTTACCTCAGCCCTGCCGACATCACCTTCAACTGGGACTTTGGAGACGGCAGCGGGGCCCTGATCTCCCGAGAGCGCACCGTCACCCACACCTACATCAACTCAGGCTCGTTTAAGCCACAAGTGGTGATCCAGGCTGTGATCCCGGATAAGAGCTGTGAGCCTGCTGTAACGCCCACCAACACCCCCACAGGTAACAATGTTCCTTTCTATCATCAAGAAGAATTTTACTGGGTTAGCTAGAAAACCACCTTGATTTCAGCAAGATGTTCAAAACGTCCCCCTGTAAACCAGTCAAAAGAACCATAGGCACTCCAGGAAGTTACCGGTACCAATATTGTGTTGTAAATATTGCTTCTGTGATCTTGGTCTTTGTAGATTACTAGTTACTTACAGTACTTGCTGGACTATTTAGCAAAACTACATTTTGTTACATATAGGCCTTACTTGAATATAAGGCACATGTTTTCATGTTGTAATGTAACACTTAACCAACAGCTGATAGAGCAAAACAAAGCGATGGTAAATACAATGTATTTTGACAGTAACATTCCTACGAGATGGAGTCAAATAATGAGTCCATAAACTCTGCTCTGACTATAGCCCATCATATAAAAATAGGTCTCTCTGCTATTCACATAAACTTACCGGGAGGCAGGATTGTGTGCTGCGTCATCAGCTCTAGAAATCAACAGCCAAAGTCTCGTCCTGCACCCCAGGGGGAGCTTTAACAAAATAGAAACATTGACCGCATCACTATATAGCCCTCAGAATTCTAAGAACTTGAAAACAGTTCTGTGCTGTATTCTACTATACTGTAGTCACTTACTTGAACCTTGTGTGCAGAGAAAGCTCCGGTCGTTGTGTCGGCTGTGCCGGTGTTCAAATCTTCTCACACAAACTCTCTTTCATCCGACGCAGAAGAGGAGAACTCTGAGTACGAGGCCTCGTCTTCTCCAAACTCACAGGAATCCAACCCACAGATGCACATCGGCAGGACTGCAGGTAAAAGACACAGGTGCAAATATCAACGTATAAAGTACATATATACAAGTGTTCATCATTTTCAAAGTCCTAGCATTTACAACTTAATGGGTTAGAAAATGGTACAAAGTAAAATACATGAGTGCCAAATTCTGAGATTAATTTGTGTATTCTAAATAAAATGATGCCTCTAAAGCTCTTGCAAATGCTAAACTACTAAGTTTCTCTGTTCAAGAAGATGTATTGAACAAATATTTAGAATAGTCTACACAGACAGTTCATGCTGTGGATGGTTTATAATGTTTTTTGACGATTCTACTAGAATCGGGACATTTACAAAGTACACCACAGAGTGTAGCTCCCTGGGACTGTTTAGCCTAAAGTCATTAAGCATATCTTAAATATGTATTTATCTTTTGTTTTACCACTTAAACATCAAAGGCAAATTCTACAGTGTTTGGCCTCTTATTACACTTTTAAGAAAAGAAATAAAGTAAAAAGAAATGGACACATACATAAACATAGGCACAAAGCACACACCCACACACTTAAAGAAAAGCAGCACCATTCACACAAACATGCATGTACACTTGCTCCATTGTGGTGTGTCTGATTAGAACTCAGCTGTTGTTTAGTCACTGCACAATTATAACTCTGTGTTTAGGAGCAAACAGAGCCCTGACTTTGAGCGGGAAAGCATCTGTTGTCGTCCCTGCGGAGAAAGTGAGAGACGACCCTCCCCATGACGACGACTGCGTCATCTACCGCTACGGATCCTTCTGCACTGGCATCGAAGTCTTTGGTCTGTTGTTTTTAAGAATATAGTTTTATTAAGTGTTCATTGCTGAGAGGTGGGAAAGTTTTGGGCTTTTTCACAGTTTGATTATCATGACCAAACATACCATAGTGGGACGGTGTAGTTTGTTGTGTATTGCATTTGTAGTTGTGTATTCTCCACCCTTTTCACTGCGTTGTGGCCACAACACCATTCATTTGGTCTACTGAATAGAAAGAAATTATTATATATACTAAAAGTACATAGAACAGATAATGGTGACTTATTCTATAAATTAGATGATATTATATTAATGCTAATGATTTTATTGGTTTTCAGAGGGCATTGACAAAGTGGAGATTGTGCAGCTGGAGAATACTGTGATGGACTCAGAAATGGACAAAAATGTGTTGGATGTCACCATCACCTGTCAGGGAAGGTGAATATTGATAAAGGTTAAAAGCATGAATGTTTTCAAGATAATTGATTCATTCTTGTGAATCTTATTAAAACCATGATTATCTATTTTACCCTGTTAGAACATTATTCCTTCATCAAAAATTTAATTTACTTTGAAGCCAGTCTAAAAAACGCTCTGTGTTGAATCTATTACGTAAAAGGCAGAGCTGGGGAGAATTCTTTGATTTAAATGTTGTCACTTGTACGAGCGACTAACCCTTGAAGTGTGATCATGTAGAATTTACCTCCCTTTAGCATGTGTGTGTGGGTGTGTGTATAGCTTTCCAAAAGAGGTGTGCAGTGTGGTTCTGGACTCAACCTGCCTGAGGCCCCTGCACTCGGTCTGTAATGTGATGGAGCCGTCCAGACAATGCCACTTGGTGTTGAGACATTTCCTCAACACGTCCGGACTTCACTGCATCAACGTTTCCATGGGCAACGACGTCCACACGGCACATGCCTCTGCTAAGTTCAATATCGACGCAGGTAAAACACAGCCTCCATCACCAAATCCTAAGCTTTGGACATGATAATCAATAGAGGATTGTAAATACACTTATTTGTCTTTTAGGATCTCCTCTGTCCGGACTCATCATTCTGATGTTGGGTGCATTTGTAGTTTTACTTGTTGCAGTGATGATGGTGCTTTCTTTCAAGTAAGAGTCCTAAAGATACATTAATACATATGATATTAGAAAAGTTATTATGAACTGATAATGATGGGGAAATGTTTATTATTGGAGAAAGATTATTTTTCTGTATTTTTATTACAATTATGAATTATTTTGTATTGAACCCCAGGAAGAATAGTGTCAGCTTAAACCATCAATGGATAATTTGTATTGATAAATGTTGGTTCAAAAATGAACCTATGATCATATAACCGTTATATATAACATATAACGATTTACATGATCCGTTCTAATTTGTGATCAGAAACGTGGTGACTGCTGTGTGGGGAAAAAACCGACAACAGCTGCGTTTATCGTCATGTGCGGAATCAGAAAACTCCCTCATGGACAAGCGCCCGCTGCTGCCTGAGACAGTGTGATGCCGTGTTCTTCAAATGTTTTTGTATTTTTATACCTTTTTCTACATGAAAGATAAGTTAGAATAATGATTGCATGTAGATGAATAAAGTAATACTGAGTTGAATGGATAGTCATGTTTGTCTAATTATTTTGATCAGAATGGGCTGTGAGTAATTTACTTTACATTACATTAGTCAGAATGTCTGTGTCCATCACCATCCATGTACATCACAGAAATGGCCAGGATTCACTCTGTGATGGCCTCAGAGATTTGAGAAGAGAATAATCACTAAACAGCATCATGAAGTCCAAGGAACCTCCTGCAGAGGTCAAAGATAAAGTTGGGTAGAAGTTTATAGCATGTTTGCTTTGGTTACTCACAGATTTGAGCACAGTTCAGTCTACTTCTGGGAGTGGAAAGAGTATGGCACGACTGAAATGCACAGCTGTACATGGGGAAAATATTAGTCATACACTTCACAAATCTGGTCTTTATGAACGAGTGGTAAATACAAAGTCAGTGATGAGACCGCAGGAAGCATGGCAGGGGACAAATAAAAAATGTGGAAGAAGGTGCTTTGGGCAGATTAATGAAAAATGTGATATGTTTGAAAAATTACAATAAGCCTGCCAATACATAATGTGTAATATGTGTGGACACACTGCTAATGTTTCATGAGCTGCAGGTGCTGAGCCTGGCTCTGCCAGACCCTTGTAGTTCCGCCATGCTCCACCAGAGGCGTTTGGCTGAACCACATGTGCAGGGAACTACAGGGGTCTGGCGAGAGTCAGGCTAGGTGCTGAGGCCAAACCAGCTGCTTTTTATCAGAGAATCTGGCAACCTAAATGACTCAACGTTTGACATAAACACAAGCAATCTGGCCATTATATAATTGAAATACACAATTCAGCTTTGATCAGAAAGGCCATATCAGGTCTGTGTGCATGTACTTTATAGTAATATATTTTAGTCCCTCAGTAAATAGTCCAATGCATTCCTGGTTCATTGTCTTGTCACCTCCCGTCTGGGTTACTGCAATTCGCCTCTATCCGGTCTCCACAAACTTCAATTAGTCCAAATCTTTGCAGTCTGCATCATCACACACCCTACCTCTATCAACCAAATCACTCCTGTCCTGAAAGGGCTGCACTGGCTTCCCATCAACCACAGCATTCAGTACAAAATCCTGCCTCGCACTTTCACAGCCATCGACAACCTAGTCTTCCATATTTCTCAGCTTCTCAACATCAGCAGCAGTACACCTGATAGCTCCTGCTGCTCCTCCTTCCAGCTCCAGGTGTCTTCAGCTAGCTTTGTCAGGAGGCACCAGCTCTGGAGCACCGTTTCCAGACTCCACGCAAATCTATTTAGACTGGCCCATTCACTATGACCCTAAATTTTACAGTTCATTTTTAGCTGTTCCTTTTGTAAGTTAAGGTTAAGTGCCCAGAAAGGGGCCATATAAACAAAATGTATTTAGATGGAGAATGTGTTTGATCTTTTCAAACATGTGCTTAGAATTCATATGAATTAGCATTTTGTCTATATACACACGTTGGAAATAAATGCAAATCTGTTTTAACTTTTAAAATGTGTATTTGGCTGAAAAAAAAAACCCCCAAAAAAAGTATGAAATCCTGACCCATTCATAGGTTGGATTAGGAAAACAAAAATTAGCACCTTTACAGTGCGAGACTCATTATTGTGAATGAGTTTATTTTATTAACAATATTGAGACTCATAAAGACACTTGACACTGTTCATCTGTCACAGGAGGTTTATTTCAAATGCTCAAACACACACACGATTTTATTGTGTGACAAACATTTGGAATGCCTTTTAAAGGACATGTTTCCCTTTAATACTCCTCTCCCTCCTCTTCACCCTCTCCTTCAATGGAGTCGACTCCCACCTCTTCATAATCCTTCTCCAGAGCAGCCATGTCCTCTCTGGCCTCAGAGAACTCTCCCTCCTCCATGCCCTCTCCCACGTACCAGTGCACAAAGGCCCTCTTGGCGTACATCAGGTCAAACTTGTGATCCAGCCGAGCCCAGGCCTCTGCGATGGCAGTGGTGTTGCTCAACATGCACACGGCCCTCTGCACCTTGGCCAGGTCTCCTCCAGGGACCACGGTGGGGGGCTGGTAGTTGATTCCCACCTTGAAACCAGTGGGACACCAGTCCACAAACTGGATGGTGCGCTTGGTCTTGATGGTGGCAATGGCGGCGTTGACGTCTTTGGGCACAACATCACCACGGAAAAGCAGACAACAGGCCATATATTTACCATGACGGGGGTCACACTTTACCATCTGATTGGCCGGTTCAAAGCAGGCATTGGTGATTTCTGCCACAGACAGCTGCTCATGGTAGGCCTTCTCTGCAGAGATGACCGGAGCGTAGGTGGCCAGAGGGAAGTGGATACGAGGGTAGGGCACCAAGTTGGTCTGGAACTCTGTCAGATCCACGTTGAGAGCTCCATCAAAGCGCAGAGAGGCGGTGATGGACGACACGATCTGACTGATCAGCCTGTTCAGGTTGGTGTAAGTGGGACGCTCAATGTCTAGGTTTCTGCGGCAGATGTCGTAGATGGCCTCGTTGTCGACCATGAAGGCACAGTCGGAGTGCTCCAGGGTGGTGTGGGTGGTCAGGATGGAGTTGTATGGCTCCACCACAGCAGTGGAAACCTGAGGAGCAGGGTAGATTGAGAACTCCAGCTTTGACTTCTTGCCGTAATCGACAGAGAGACGCTCCATCAGCAGTGAGGTGAAACCAGAGCCAGTTCCTCCTCCAAAGCTGTGGAACACCAGGAAGCCCTGCAGCCCTGTGCACTGGTCGGCCTGTGGACACACAAATTAAAAAGAGCTTTAGAAGAGTCTCAATCAAATAAATGTTGAAGAAAAAAATAGATTTAATGCAATGTTTGAAATGCTTAAATAGTCCCTCAAGTTAAGTGTTGATCTTGACTCAACATGAATAACAGACTGAAAGATATACAATGGTGCCCTCCATCGTCCTGTAGCAAAATGTACTAATTTTCATAAATATCACTTCCACCAGGGGGCATTGTAGTAACTAGGGTTTGTTATTTAGCTACAACCAGAAGTGTAGGGCAGAGTTGATTTCTTGTATAATTATTATTCTATAAAAGAGGAGAAATGGAACAATGATTTTGGAGGTGATCCTGATCACCATATGGACTTTTATACCAGAATTCAACTGCAGAGGTCTGCCCTCCATGGTTGCTTTTCTAGTTTACTTTGAAAACTTTTAACAATGTAACCTTGAAATCATCAGACATATAATACTGCACAATATACACACTGTAAAATAGTATTAATAACATTGATACACATTTATCATGACTCATAACTAGGACCACCTTCATACGCCTCTCACCAGTTTGCGGATCCTGTCCAGCACCAGGTCAATGATCTCTTTGCCGATTGTGTAGTGACCACGAGCGTAGTTGTTGGCAGCGTCCTCCTTCCCAGTGATCAGCTGCTCAGGGTGGAACAGCTGCCTGTATGTTCCAGTGCGCACCTCATCTGTGGAGCACAGGCAACATTTACACACTGCTCATGCACACAATTCAATATGATTCTTTAGTGACACAATCATTGATAGACAAAGTGAGTGCAGTAGTAAAAAGGATCCAAAGGCAATCGCTGTTATATTGATGTTTTGCGATCAGCAGGTTGCCAGTTTTGTTGTGTAGCAGTAGCTTTCTGGGTGTAAAGATGTTACTTCATCGAACTGCACATTTACCGATGACAGTGGGCTCCAGGTCCACAAACACAGCTCTGGGCACATGTTTTCCAGCTCCAGTCTCGCTGAAGAAGGTGTTGAAGGAATCATCTCCTCCTCCTAGAGTCTTGTCACTGGGCATCTGTCCATCAGGCTGGATCCCATGCTCCAGACAGTACAGTTCCCAGCAGGCATTACCGATCTGCACTCCGGCCTGGCCCACGTGGATGGAGATACACTCACGCTGAGGGCACAAAGAGCACAATTAGACACTGCAGTTAAGGCTTAAATACAAGAGGAAAGCGATGCACGTTTGATTCCACGACAATAGGCTATACGTTGTGACAGCTGCTCCCTCTTGCGGCAGCAGCAGTGCTACGTCACGGCCCCTCCCTTCATGCTGCAGTGATCCACCGCCATCCCCCCCATCCTGAAACAACCTGCTCCCCTGCGCCGCCCGCTTTTGTTTTAAGATTGCTTTTTGTCATTTGTCTCCTTCCCCTTGTTGTCTTTGTCGCCTGGGCCGCTTGCGCTTTTTCTCCATCCAAATCCAGACTCATTTGCATGTGCACACTCGCGCGTTCACGTACGATAATCCAGAACATTCCGCCTGCACCTTTCAGGCCTAAGCTTCAATAAAATCCCACGTCTAATACCAACCACGTGTTCCCCCCCCCCCCCCAATAAAAAGCAGACATTCAACTGCATATCTTAAAATAAAGTGATCCACTGTAATGCCGTCTATAAGAATTCTGCAGTATGTCCCCTCATCTTCTCCACGCCCCGCCCTGTCCATCCATGAAACTGGCTTTTGTAAGGTGCACGATTCCTTCTCTAGATGTGCCATAACCAGCATCGAAAATATCAGTCGATCCGTTGGAACATTTTCAGAGGTTCAGGTTTGCGTGCGCGCTGGCACCTTGGATGCCGCCAGCCCTATGAGCATTGTTCCCATCCACCCCCAGATCCTACAAGAATTGTAATCGACCATTTTTACGCCATTTCGACCATTTTAAACACATAATACAGTCATGAATAACATACGAGCGGATCTATTCTCCGGAGGTATTTCCCTAATCAAGGACGTCATCAAACGCGCCAGTTTTGGAGATTCCGGCCCAAATCACGCTTATGTGTTCCTATTTTTCCGCTGGAATGCGCAAAAGAACTCACCATGTTTGTTGTGAAGGTTTAAAGGAGAGGAGAAGCGGAGAAAAAGGTCGTGTTTTACGTTGCGTGTTGTACCCGGCGGGGTCGAAGCAACATCTAGTGAATGGGAGGGCGGTGCATGCGCATTTATACTGTGGCGCAAACTGCGGGAGGAGGGCCTGTGCACACAGAGCTGCGGCCTGAAGCCTGCACTGAGATGACCGCTGCTTGTGGGTCTCCCTGTTTCTATCATGCTGCCGCAGTGCCACTATGGCAGCAGATCTGTAGGCCCATTGTTTAATGATACATGTGACCTGTGATCCGTATAGACAAGCTATACATAATATAGTGTTATGCCACACGAGCCAAAGGAAGAGTGCTCTTTCAGCTGCACTCTGTGGAGGGAGTCTGCTCTCCACAGAACTGATTTGTATTCTGGTGACTGATTTGCCAACTGCTTGTTTCCATGGAAACGTTTATATCTGCCTCAAACATAAAAACCTACATATACACCTGATATAGAGTGATGTGAATGTGTCAGAGTATTAAATCTCTTTATGATTTGGTGATATTGTGGTCTATCTCATTTTGGTCAGCCAAATGAGAGCTCATCGGGCCGATTGTTTGAACTTTAATGCCCTGTGAGATTTGAATGCCTTGTTTTCAATGTTTAGTGAGTTATGGCTCATGTGATAGGGACAAAGCACTTTGTGTTACCTTGTGGTAAAGCGCTCACAATATAGGTTGATTTATGAAAATACTTAATACTAAAGTTGGATAAGGCTCCTTTTTTGTAGGAAAGTTTTTTTAAGGGTCATGTTCAAATCAAATTAGTGGGGCAGCTGAGCGTGCAAAGTGTCCTTATCACCAAAATGGTAGTATTCTTGCATGTGAAAGCCTGATCTGTCAATTCTCAAAATCTGACCGCAGGGACCCCAGGTGACACAGTGGGATGGCTGCAGCTAAATTGCCAAACTGTTATTGTGATTTTATGTAAGACACTTGGCAAATATGGGACTGGTGTGTAAATAATTGGTGAGGGTCGACAGTTTTTCTTGCTTCTCTCAAGCTAATGAAGCCATAGTAGTTTACCACCACCGTGATAAAGTGAATGAATAATGTACTTGATGCATCTTTAAAAAATTGTGCTTGACCTATCTTCATAAATGTTAATTATAATGATTGAAATTTATTTTAAATGATCCAACAGGCCACGGCCTAATGACCCCCAGGTTTTACACCCCTGATTCTGAAATAGGTTTGAGAGAGTGATGGCCTGTCTGTGCAGTCCTTATTCTGCAGCTCCGTATCTACAGAAACATGTTGCAAACAGCATGAGTGAATGCTTTTTCACTGATGCAAGAAAAAAGAGGAGACTGCCCACCATCATCACGCAATGTGCACCCGCTATAGAAACAGACACACCTATATTCACACAGGCAAAATAAATAAAAATATGCACTGACGTATTTAACTGTATGTTCCTTCTGTATGCTTTGTCGTTTTAATGTTCAATAAATTCCCATGTCCAATATGCTCTTTAACAATACTCTCTGAGATGGGTTCAGGGAGGATGTATTTTGCATTGATTTACATGAAGGAAAATCCTCTAATCAGCTGGCTTTTTTCACCACAACAACAGCATCACACATTTATACCAGTAGAATCAAATTTACTGCACAAACTTCAAGAAAATGTCCATTGAAAATATTAGAGGCAATGTGCTCATAGAGGCCCTACTCTGGGGGCAGGGAGATGATTCTTGTTGATCTTGCAATTGATATCATTTCATAATCCCAGCAGTTTCTATTTGCGCTTGATTTAGTCTTGGTAAACATAAAATGTTTACATCAGCATTTGCACATTATAGTCACATCGGTGTCACATCGGTGTGTAGACTATAAACAAGAATAGGGGTATTACCTGCCAGAAGAAAACAAATGCAAGACTAAATAGTACAGCTTTTAAACGCCCAAAAGTCCCTAAAAGACATCTAGACTAAAATCAGCATCTCGGGATGTAATATGTTTTGAACTCTTATCTTAATATATGTGAATAAAATCGTCAAAATCCAATCTGCAAGGATCTAATCAATCAGTAGTGTCTTAGGGGAGGTAAATTTGCTAAGAATCAGTGCAGGCCCCATTGTCTTGAGCCTGCACCTGCTGCATTATTGATGGAGTAAAATGGCCCCCTATGTGCAGCTGATGTCTGGAGCAGGAAACGCCCTGAAAATGCTCATCTTCTCCATCCCCCTTCTCTCCTCTCTACAGGGTTGCCAGATTATCAGAGCAGCCAGCGTCTAAGCCTTTAAAAGTAAAATACCAGAATGAATTTTTAAAAATACAGTTGTTGTCAGACATTTCAGAACAGAGAACAGTCAAAACACACAGGAAACGTGATTGTGTTGATAAACACTAATTTATAAGTAAAAGGAGGCACAGGTTTGACAGGGATTCTAGTTTACTACTTGCTTCTTAAAGCTGGAAGTCGTCAGAGCTCAGAAGACAGTCAGAGACCAGGATTTATCCCTGCCATCAACTGGAATAATAAAACAAGCCAAATGTTTGATCATGTAAGTACACAGTTGTAATGAACATAATTTGATACTGAAATGCCAAAACTATTTTATAGACAATATATGTGTAAAGGCAAAAATCCCCACAGCTCTATTATGTAACATTACAGCCCAATGAAAGTGTTCTGATATCAGTGTGTATGATGCTAAAACAAGCATCAGTTTTCACATGAAATATTGTTAAATCATGGTTACAAGTTCAGAATAAGTCAAATAGTCTTTACAGTGCTCACTATATGTTGGTGAATACGTCAGAAGTAATACGCCCATAAGTGCTAGAAAGATGTAGACATGGCAACTCTCCCCCTCCCTTCCCTTTGTGCCCCAGTTTCTGCAGAGCTGATGTCATTGCAGTGGCCTGATCACGTGACCTGTCTCTGTCTGGGAGGGTTTGCTTCACTTGGGAATCAGCAACGACAACATTTCATACAGTTTAAAAAGCATTAAGGGAACAAAATAAATGCTGTACGTTTTTTATATATTTTGTTGGAGATTCTTGTAGTGTCCTGGTCTTATATGTACATAAAAAATTAGGCAGAATTTATGTTGAAGACCCAAAACATAGATTTTTTGGGATCACAATAATCTACATTATATCATTTTTACTTTTCAATAGTTTCAAATACAATGTTCAGGTGCATACTGATTTGTTCTATTTATTGGAAATACTATGAGGAAAATCCAGGAAATGATGTTTTTGACACCATTTTTGATTGGGAATGTCTTTTCATATTGTCCCACATGATGGCATCAAACCTTAAAATACAATTGTAATACTTTTGGTTTGTTTTTGTTTTTATCCTTTACTGTAGATGCAACAGTGACATTTCCCACAGGATTATTTAACAATTCAAAAACGCTTCCACGATTATAAAGATTGTGTTCCACATGTTTCAATCAATTTATTATTCTAATAAACTCTGCTTTAATTCAGCTTGCAGATAAAATCAGGAAATGTTCAGAACAGGTTTGTGACAATAAAGAAGGATATGCATGAAAGAAATGCCATAGATCTGAACTCCAATTAAACTAATTTCACTCAACTACACGGGGAAATAACACATTTAAACTATCTTTATCTAACATATCCCTAAAGTACCACCAGTGAGAGGGGTTTGGCAGTTTGTAAGCGTTTGCTTCACCCAACGCCTTTGCCAAACTGTGTCTGTTATTCTGTAATTGTTATTTATTGGTGTTTCAATTCAAAACGTAATGAGAACACCAATGATTGCTCTCCCTCTGTCAAGGAAGGTGTAGAGCAGGAATGAGCAACCTTCCTCTCTGTATCCAATAGATCCAAAGAGAAATTATGTGCCATAACTATGTGTAAACATTTCATCCTTTGCTATAAGCATAGGCTAGACAGGGATGTCCACTTAGTTCTCTTCTCTTCCCTCTCTCAGCCCTCAGAACTCATGGGGCTTGTAATTTGTTTATCTGATAATGACACAAACCAATAGTCAAAATAGTTATGTTACAAGGATAGAAATTTCTTAATTTTATGACGCAATCACAGTGCCATCACAAAATGTAATGAAAGTGGAAAGACAAACGGCCACGCCTTACCGTCCACAGTGAGGCAAAACAGAGCAGTGGGAAGACAGTTACTTCGGAACTGTAAAGTGTGCTGAATGTGTCCATTGATGGCTTGGTTTGATGATTGTGGCTGAGCGATATTTGCATTATGGGGAATGCAAAACATTTTTTACGAGGAAACAATGTTGATGTATCGTGGTTCAATCTCTCTGTCCTAACTTTGTAACATCCCACTTCTTATGAAGAATAGAGAGTGTATTTTTGAAATAGAACATAATTTTATTTTATAGCAGGAAGTCATTATGTTGAGTGCCTCCTCAGACATCCACAGAGCAGCTGACACTCTGAGGCAGCTGCACTCTGGGGCCATGCTGGAGGATGGGAATGTGAGACGGGCGTGGTCCCATCATCCACATTATCTCCTCTCTGTATCCATAAGTGAAGTCTATACAGCGGCAGTGACCAAGCACATCCACCATCTGCTGCTGCTGTTGTCCAGGAGTAGGCTGCTTTTCCTATCGTTTACACGATCTATCCACAGAAGGAGCCTTTGTCAGACACACTAGCTCCAGTGTTGATCTAAAAGCAGTATTAAACTGAAAGTCAAAAAGTTCGTTGTGTTTGGAAATCAGACCAAAGCAGCGGTGAAAGCTGGGGGAAACAGACGATCTGCAGTTTATTGTAATTTCCAGAAAGAGTACAGAGTTACAGGGACAATTACATAACAATGTAAATTGAAACTTGTATGAACAAGAATAATATGTAACTGGTACATGGTGTACTAAAATGTCCATGACAGAGGTACGCAGGCTTTATCCTTTTAGATATTGTGTCCACCGTTCACAAAACCACTAAATAATTACAAATATAATACAAATCATAGCTAGTTCTTTGTTGTGATTGAACAGTTTTGTTCTATCACTAGTCTTCACGTGCCTGTACTCTTTGGCCTCTCTGACATGTTTCAATTGGGGTTTTTTTCAGGCTGTTTTCCAATAAGATGCATACATGTACTGTGATCTGTTTTATTCACAATAACTAGAAACAAGTCAATGTGATGACAAATTTGTGCAAAGCGGCTAATCATCCATGTATGAGTAACAAAAGGCAATATACTGTATATACTCATGAACAACTGGCTGTACCAGTGGCAACGGAAAGGCACAAATTACTCCTAATACAAGACAATGTAAATACAAAGATAGAGTTTAAAATATAAGCACAAATACCACAAGGTATGGATAAAACCAGGACTTAACCAGACTTTACACTCTGAATGTCACATATGTCTAACATTGGAGAAACAGCACTATAGTTCTTACTAAAGGTTGACATGACATTTCAAATAAAAGGTCCGTTTGTACAGCGCTGCATTCTTTAAAGTCATGTCCTTTCCCCGGACAACAGTTGTCAATGGTTTTTCTTTATTGCACTGAACTTGTGGATAGAAGCTCTGTATAAAGGGCTGCATACATGTACATTGTCAGATAGATATATAAGGGAAGACATCTAGCAAAATTATTACATATTTTTAGTTCTGACAACATCAAAACCGCTTTTTTATCTATTTTTAGATTCTGTTTGATACTTGAATGTATTATGAGGCTGTGTTCACTCAAACCCAGGGGTCCATACCAACATAAATTCTCTATCTAAGAGAAGATTCTTTTGTCCGAGATAAAAGAAAATTTATGACATAAATTATATCGAACATCTGTAATCTGCAACAATTTTTCAAGAAATGTGTCAGTTTATCATTGCACAGGCCAAACTTCACCCAGACAAATATGACATTGTTACACATTTATATTGATACAATGCATAATGTTGCACACTCCCCATTATTGCACATTGTTAAGTTATAATTATGGCTCACAAATTTACCCACTATAGATTACTTTCAAATTATGACATGTTGGAGGTTTTTCATTTTCAAGGGCTGGGCAACATGTCAAATCATCTGTGTACCACTAATAAAGAACTAAAAGCAAAGGAAAGAAAGTACAAATATGGAGGCAGAAGAATAAAGGTTACACAAACATGAACCAAGAAATAACAATTTAAAAAATCACACTATACTTTAAACACATGTACCTGTTTAGAAGCTTGTTTTTGGGGCAGATTTGGTGTTGTGAGCGGCAGCTGGTGGTTAATTCTGGGGTTAAGCAGCTCACGTGGTGCAGATAAAAGGCGGTCTGTGGATCAGCCTCTTGGCATCTCTCTGGGTCGACAGAGGGGGCTGGGCGGCTGTGGCCTAAAAACGGAAGAAGACTGGCCTCCTGCAAAGACACTTCACTGGACAATAGCACTGATGCGTGTAGTGGTTCTGTTCTGGTTTGGCTAAAGTATAATGTAAATTTTGTCACACTTGATCCACTGTTAGAAAAACAAAATAATGGGCATTATGTTTCAATGTTAAAGTTTGTTCTGAAATGAAGTAGGTGAAATATTTATTCAGGGAAAGAAAATCACATAATAAATGCAATTGGCCATGCGTTCATGTTGCCACAGAAGTTAAAACTACTATAATTAGTTTGCAAAATGTACAAAATACATTTAGAAGTATAATTATTAACCCAGCTGCTAAACTACAGGTACAATGCCAAATAGCAGGTGCAATTTCCTCAGTGTAGTTGTAATAGGGTGATAATCACATGATAATTGAACCCTAGTGCGTTAAACAAATAAATCATTCACTGCTGTGAAAGTTTCCTGAAAAAACAAAAAAAAATCCAAATCCTCCCATAACATTTGGAGTTATGATGCTTACAGACGAACAGACAATCAAACTGACAAAGGCCCGTCTGTTTGATTGTCCTGGGCAGAGGTAATAATGGTCTTGCTGCCGAAGCTGCAGTTTGTGATGACATTTGAGGGAACAAAAATACAGGAAGTAGAGCAGTATTCTAAAACTCATCATGAAGTTTAGCTAAATTCACTTCAAACACTGTTTATACAACATGAAAGAATGTTCTTACAATTTAGTTTGACAAATTATATCTTCAAAGTTTTGGTTGGCAACATCCGTCATGTTTTCATTTACAACTTGAAAGAACAATATGATTACAAGTACTCAACCTCCTTCACCTTTTCTATATTTTGCAATGTTAAAGCCTTATTCCCAGATGTATCAAATTCTATTTTTTTATCAATCTTTTAACGATACCCTATTTTAACAAAGTTAGGAGTCTTTGACTTTTGATCAAAATAAAACATAAAAAACCTTTTGCTAAAACACTGAACAATGAGCTCAGATGATCCTCTTTTCACTGATTGTTGAAAGTCACATACTTTTTGATTTAAGGTCCCACCACTGACAGTAATTGTCAGAGCAGAAGCCAGGCCAGGTCTAAGGAACTGCCTAGAGAAGTATATCAAGACAGTATTCAGAAACATTGGCGCCGCCTTTAAGGTCTCAAACAGCACAGGACTAAACCGAGAGCAGGTCTTGATGTGCCTCAATAAAATTCTGTCTCAGAGATCTGCAGACAGTTCCTTAACACTTAACTGTGACAATCAATGTCAGTAGTGGGACGTTCAATGTGAAGATATGTCCCTTTCCAAATCAAGTTTAATAGTATAATTTACCTCAGGTGTCTTCCAGTCAAGTTGTAGAAAAGATCAATTAGTGGAGACAGGTAGACAAAAAAAATAAAAAATGGACACATTTTGAAATATAGTAGCATAGAAAGGGGGAAGGGGGTTAAATGTTTTCTGAATGTATGGCTAAACTGAAAAAGTCTAGACTGATATATGCACTTAAAAGACAAATTTTCCAGAAATGGCTCGAATCAAAGTAATAATTGTGTATATCAATGTCTAGATGTACAATATGATTATGTGAAATGATTGCAACTGGAAAGACAATATCCAGAAGAGTATTTCAAACAGTAAAGATAATAGGGTCTACGTTTCAATACAGTACAGTTTCACAGGGAAATATCCAGATAAACATATAAAGCAGGAGTATATTTACTGAGGAGGCTTCTTGAAAACACTCAAAATACATCTTATTCAGATTATGTCTGCCCCTCTAGAATAATCTGTGTTATTCAGGCTGCACATTGTTCAACATCTGCTCAGAATGTGTGCGTATTAAGCTTTACGCACATTTGTCTCATGGCTGATCTTGGATAATTACGCAGCATTTTCCCCATCGCGCGTCGCCATGCTGCTGCAGTGATGGGGAGCAGGGCGGGCCATGAGCGCTGGTCCTGCGCTCTGGCCAATCAGAAACCAATGTTGGGTTTGAAACGTGAGACTGACGCGGAGCTGTCCACTCAGAGCAGAGCTGGAGCGTCCGGAGCCGGCGCCTTGCGCATATAAACCGCACTCCATCCCAGCTTCGCCATTTCATCTTACATCGACCCCCTAACAGTCGAATTGTAAGACTTCTCACCCCTGTGCTTCATTGACTCTGTGACCCGTTCAGAGAACCAGAATGGTAAGAAATTCTTGTATATTTTGTGCAAATACCAGACCTTACGCAGTGTTTAGATGGACAATTTTAGAGTTGGTTTAGGCCTACATAAAAGTGACTACACAAGTGTTACATTGATGCATATTTTATATCTGCCATAGTGCAGTCTATTGGTATAGTTGCTTATTTGAGGCGTTTCGCAGGGATGGACTGGCGCACCTTGTTCTGGCGAGACATAGCTGACGATGATGCTTTTCCTCAGCATCATGTCTGTCTCGTTCATGACAGACATGTCTGTCTCGTCCATGATGCAGATTCAGGCGCGCCTCAGAAACGGAGTTGTAATCCTACACCGGCACATACGCCGTGTCAGTCAACGTACGCCATTAAATATGCAGAATGATAGTATTGAGCCCATTGAGATTCTGAGGCGACCTCTAAAGGCGTGTCTAAAGGGCAGCAGGATGGAATACTTCAAAGACACGCAGTGCGCCAACCCTGTGCCATCCTCCTGAGGAAGCCCGTGTATAGCCTACATGTCACATTATAGATGAGTAAGGGGAAGTGAAATCACAAGAATAGACACTCAATGGACAATATAATTCTATTATATTTTTTATATTTTCGTTTGTTTGCTTCTGGTTATTCATTTTGGTTTTATTTATTGTTAAAATTGTGCTGTACAAGTTTTTAAAGAAACGTTTTTGATTGATAATGACATGATTTTCCTGAATGTACCTAATTTGTCTTTCTCAGCGTGAGTGTATCTCCATCCACGTGGGCCAGGCCGGAGTGCAGATTGGCAATGCCTGCTGGGAACTGTACTGTCTGGAGCATGGGATCCAGCCTGATGGACAGATGCCCAGTGATAAAACCATCGGAGGAGGAGATGATTCCTTCAATACCTTCTTCAGTGAGACCGGAGCTGGGAAACATGTGCCCAGAGCTGTGTTTGTGGACCTGGAGCCCACTGTCATCGGTAACTTGCAGTAAAAATCTATTTCGATTCTTTAGTGCACGTGGCAGTGCTATATTAAGCTCTAAATAATTATATTGCACATTCTCATTGTTCAGTTTTTAACGGCAAGGTTACATACCAAAATCCATTTATTGGTGTACAAATGTGTAAATAATATTGCCTGTGCTCCACAGATGAGGTGCGCACTGGGACATACAGGCAGCTGTTCCACCCTGAGCAGCTGATCACTGGGAAGGAGGACGCTGCCAACAACTACGCTCGTGGTCACTACACAATCGGCAAAGAGATCATTGACCTGGTACTGGACAGGATCCGCAAACTGGTGAGAGGCGTATGAAGGTGTGTGTATGTGTCACTGTGAGCAGCTCCTAACCTGTGTGTCCACAGGCCGACCAGTGCACAGGGCTGCAGGGCTTCCTGGTGTTCCACAGCTTTGGAGGAGGAACTGGCTCTGGTTTCACCTCACTGCTGATGGAGCGTCTTTCCGTCGACTACGGCAAGAAGTCCAAGCTGGAGTTCTCCATCTACCCTGCTCCTCAGGTGTCCACTGCTGTGGTGGAGCCATACAACGCCATCCTGACCACCCACACCACCCTGGAGCACTCCGACTGTGCCTTCATGGTTGACAACGAGGCCATCTATGACATCTGCCGCAGAAACTTGGACATTGAGCGTCCCACTTACACTAATCTGAACAGGCTTATTGGTCAAATTGTGTCGTCCATCACCGCTTCTCTGCGCTTTGATGGAGCTCTCAACGTGGATCTGACAGAGTTCCAGACCAACTTGGTGCCCTACCCTCGTATCCACTTCCCTCTGGCCACCTACGCCCCGGTCATCTCTGCAGAGAAGGCCTACCATGAGCAGCTGTCAGTTTCAGAGATCACCAATGCCTGCTTTGAACCGGCCAATCAGATGGTAAAGTGTGACCCCCGTCATGGTAAATATATGGCCTGTTGTCTCTTGTATCGTGGTGATGTTGTGCCCAAAGACGTCAACGCCGCCATTGCCACCATCAAGACCAAGCGCACCATCCAGTTTGTGGACTGGTGTCCCACTGGTTTCAAGGTGGGAATCAACTACCAGCCCCCCACCGTGGTCCCTGGAGGAGACTTGGCCAAGGTGCAGAGGGCCGTGTGCATGTTGAGCAACACCACTGCCATCGCAGAGGCCTGGGCTCGGCTGGATCACAAGTTTGACCTGATGTACGCCAAGAGGGCCTTTGTGCACTGGTACGTGGGAGAGGGCATGGAGGAGGGAGAGTTCTCTGAGGCCAGAGAGGACATGGCTGCTCTGGAGAAGGATTATGAAGAGGTGGGAGTCGACTCTGTTGAGGGAGAGGGTGAGGAGGAGGGAGAGGAGTATTAAAGAGTTAAATAAGTGCAAAATGACACAAACATAAATATACCTTCTTTTAACATTCCAAGCTTCATGCGGGTTATAACTGTGGCTGCATCAGATTGGTGTTTAGAGGAATCCACGCTTTAACAATTACTAATCCACTGCATCACTGTTTGTGATTTTGGCACTCTTTGAAATAAAGTTCTATAACATCTGAGTCACCTTGGTTTCAATGAGCATATTAGGAAAGTGGGTAGCTTTTGCACTGAGATGGCTTTATTGGAACAACTCACTGATCACGCATGCTAAGTCGACTACTACTGTCAAACAATACAATAAAAATCGAATCATATTTTATACTTAACCTTTTTCTGTAGAACATAAAAAGTTAAAGAACTTTTGCATATGACTAACATAGGACTAAACCAAATTTGAATAACAACCCTTCCTTTGAAACAATTTGCAGTAGGAAGCATGTACAAGGCAGGTTTGTATTATGCAACAAGAATGTTTGCCTGTGTGCAATAATCACATTCCAAATTAAAAGGTGAAAATAAACGATTTCAACATGTCTGGCTGACTATAAAGTAACAAGGTGGGGCTTTAACGTACACTTATTAATTCGATCTCATACTTCACATTGTGCTGTTAATTTGTGATTATGATTACTTTAACGTCATCCTTTGCATATTTAAGGGTAAAGTATCGAATATATCCATTTCAAGCTCAACGTTGCTTATCCCACTTTCCATGGCTCTGCTTCAGCTATCTGTCCGAGCCATCAGAACCGAACAGCGACCGTTGCACTTTACACCAATAGACACAAAGTACACCGGTCACGTGGTATAATCTGGCCAATCCCTATTCAACGGTACTTTCCGCCGCTGATGGGAGCCTATAAATAACCCCACCTAGAAGAAAAATTCCACTGACGACTTACAAAGGACCACATCGAGGCCTAGCTGTGAGCTGCTTTCTGCATCCTCTTTTCTCCCCATCCACAACCAAAACCCACCAATATATTTAGCCAACATGGTGAGTACGTGACGTTTTTTTTGTCGTTTTGGGATAGTTGTAGTGTTAATTTCCAACTTGAGTGAAGATCTTTTGTCGTCGACTGAGTTCAAATCACGTGGTACAGATAAGTTGATACCGTTTCAAAGTTAGCGGGAAAGAGGGTTATCTGTTTGTGGTATTAATAAATCGTTGTAATAGTTGTTAGTTAGTGGCGTAGTTTTAATATGTATTTTTCAAAAGTTTTACATTTGGCGTCGCCTATTTCCTTCAAGTTTATTCCAGAAGTAAGCTAGTTAAATTTTTTTTATTTTTTTTCACCGAATTGTCTAGAACTACATAATAGTTCTATTGAAGTGTGAATCTTCAATTATATTCAAGTGGTTTAGGGCACTTCGTCCAACTTTTACTGCATAATACATCGTTGATTACCCATTTTATCAAGAGTTTATATTTATTTTTATTTTTTTCCTCTGCGCCTAAAATGACCATGAGCTGTCAAGTGACCAGTCATGATGTTCGCATCGGTGACGAATGACAAAGGGCACCCTTTCTTCAGCTGCTCCATGACTGCAGCCTGTGTCACACAGTTAGCGCGATAGAGGATATTAAAGTAATACTTTTCTTTTTGCAGCGTGAGTGCATCTCAGTCCATGTGGGCCAGGCCGGAGTGCAGATCGGTAATGCCTGCTGGGAGCTGTACTGTCTGGAGCATGGGATCCAGCCTGATGGACAGATGCCCAGTGACAAGACTCTGGGAGGAGGAGATGATTCTTTCAACACCTTCTTCAGTGAAACTGGAGCTGGGAAACATGTGCCCAGAGCTGTGTTTGTGGACCTGGAGCCCACTGTCATCGGTAAATGTGCAGTTCAATGTAGTTTGGAGTTGAGTGCCATGGCATATAATACTCATCCAGAGAACTACTTTTCCAAAATTATTCTAGACATTTAATTCTTTCCCAGTCCAGAGATGGTGCCTTAAAGACCCTTTTTTATGTCTTAATTGAATGGCACCTGGTTACAAATGCCCTTAGTTTTTATGCTCATATATATATATATATATATATATTTTTTTTTTTTTTAAAGGAAATGAATTCCAGCGGTTTGAGCGGCTTTCTCATCCTAAAGTTTGTCAGAATGACTATAAATTATTTGTAACATGTATCATTTGATTTGTCAAAACAATCAGCACTAGGAGAATCATTAACTGTGTACTTCTGGAAATCATAGAACTTAAACTGCAGTAACTTCAGTTTTAAAAATGCATTTATTACTGCACACCTTTTGGATTTGGGGTCTACTGCATTCAGAGGACTCTGGAACAGCCAACCTTTTATTGCTGTTGTCTTGATTTACATTTACAGTGAACACTTAAGTTGAAAATAAAATGGATAGAGACCAGCTTACTAAAAGTTGATGATCACTGCTTAAAGCTGGGGTACCAAACTTTTTCCCTCCTAAGTAATATGCCTTGTAAGAGTCTTGTAAAATTTTGTGAAAACAATAAGACTACAATTTTCTGCCTTCATTTTATTAGAAACAATTTAGTCTTTTAGATACCTTTAATACGAGCCTAGTGAATTACTATTAAACGACAAGCTGGCCGCTAATTGGTTGAGCCAGATGGGGAGTCTTTCACATCCTAATGATAGGCATGTGAACACGAGTGTTTTGAGGTGAAGGAACTAGTTTGACAGTTTGGGACCCGAGCTTTAAGTGCATGAGCCTTATATGAATGGGGCCTGTGCTCCACAGATGAGGTGCGCACTGGGACATACAGGCAGCTGTTCCACCCTGAGCAGCTGATCACTGGGAAGGAGGATGCAGCCAACAACTACGCTCGTGGTCACTACACCATCGGCAAAGAGATCATTGACCTGGTACTGGACAGGATCCGCAAACTGGTGAGAGGCGTATGAAGGTGTGTGTATGTGTCACTGTGAGCAGCTCCTAACCTGTGTGTCCACAGGCCGACCAGTGCACAGGGCTGCAGGGCTTCCTGGTGTTCCACAGCTTTGGAGGAGGAACTGGCTCTGGTTTCACCTCACTGCTGATGGAGCGTCTTTCTGTCGATTACGGCAAGAAGTCAAAGCTGGAGTTCTCCATCTACCCTGCTCCTCAGGTGTCCACTGCTGTTGTGGAGCCGTACAACGCCATCCTGACCACCCACACCACCCTGGAGCACTCCGACTGCGCTTTTATGGTCGACAACGAGGCCATCTACGACATCTGCCGCAGAAACCTAGACATTGAGCGTCCCACTTACACCAACCTGAACAGGCTGATCAGTCAGATCGTGTCGTCCATCACCGCCTCTCTGCGCTTTGATGGAGCTCTCAACGTGGATCTGACAGAGTTCCAGACCAACTTGGTGCCCTACCCTCGTATCCACTTCCCTCTGGCCACCTACGCTCCGGTCATCTCTGCAGAGAAGGCCTACCATGAGCAGTTAACAGTTTCAGAAATCACCAATGCCTGCTTTGAACCGGCCAATCAGATGGTAAAGTGTGACCCCCGTCATGGTAAATATATGGCCTGTTGTCTGCTTTTCCGTGGTGATGTTGTGCCCAAAGACGTCAACGCCGCCATTGCCACCATCAAGACAAAGCGCTCTATCCAGTTTGTGGACTGGTGTCCCACTGGCTTCAAGGTGGGAATCAACTACCAGCCCCCCACCGTGGTCCCTGGAGGAGACCTGGCCAAGGTGCAGAGGGCCGTGTGCATGTTGAGCAACACCACTGCCATCGCAGAGGCCTGGGCTCGACTGGATCACAAGTTTGACCTGATGTACGCCAAGAGGGCCTTTGTGCACTGGTACGTGGGAGAGGGCATGGAGGAGGGAGAGTTCTCTGAGGCCAGAGAGGACATGGCTGCTCTGGAGAAGGATTATGAAGAGGTGGGCATTGATTCTGCTGATGGAGAAGGCGACGAAGAAGGCGAAGAATACTAAGCACTGTTTAAATGACGTGTTCAAAGTCTGTAGGAGGCTTTTTCACATTGTTCTCAATAAATATAATGCAATGCAAGATTTGTACGTGTTTATTTATATTTTTCTGTTAAGACATTCATACAACCGTTGTTTTGTCTGAGGCAGTCACTAATCAAAATCTAAATGTGGTGTAGCACTCTAGTGGTGCAATGATAGGTCTTCAGTGTGACACAATTTTCAACTCTTGTTCCCCAAATAGCTTGGATAAGCCTTCGTATTTATCAAAGTTAAACCAAATTATAATGGGGCAATTCCAGCCTTGTTTAAATGCATGATGGAGATTACTGGTTTTAGTTTCCTCCGTGCAAAGTGTGTTAAATATTTTAGCGTAAGTGTGATATGAAGATAAGTATTTGGGCCTGTCATTTGTAAATGTTTATGTATTATGGGTAGACCGTTATTATAGATCCATGGGGTAGACTTATAGACATGTCAAATCTAACTGTTGGTCATAGCTGGTGAATGATTTATTATTCATTGAAATTACTGAAGCCTAGAGTTACCCCGATTAGATATGCAAATCTTTTTCTGGTGTTGAATATGAGTGGCGTTGCACAGGGTTACTGTGTTTAACATTCTAACTTAAGTAAAAGATCATTCCTCATAGTAATATCCTGGACATTCATTGATGCTTCACGTCATTCACGGACGCACCCATGGATCTAGGACGCATCAGACTCGAACTCGATTATGTAGGTCAGTGTCTCCCAAAGTGGGGTCCGCGGCCCCCTGGTGGGCCGCGAGGGTACTGCAGGGGGGCCGCGGGAGGTCATAAAAAAAAAATATAATTATTTAATGTTAAATTTATAATGTTTTGTTTGTAATATTAAAATATTTGTGTTCATTATTTGACTTGAATAATCCACTGTAATCATTTTTGTATTACAATGTTTGTAGCAGAGGCTATTTCCCCAAAATAAAATAACCAGAAGAGCCTATTCTTAATGTTGTCTTCTTGGTTATTATTTTGGGGGGCCACGCAGACCCTTCAGATTTTTAAGGGGGCCTCGGTGTTACTGAGTTTGGGAATGGCTGATGTAGGTTATTCCAGACCAAAGAACACATCGACAGTTTATGCTGGTGTTCCCATAGACGTGTGATCCAAGCTCTGGTCTACTCTGAGGTCAGATGGGATCAAGCTGATAAAACTATATGGTTAAAATGAGTTCGCAGTACATTACCGGGTTACCTCCATAGACTGTATGTTTCCTCCTCTACAAAGTTGTCTAGTCTGAATTTATATTTACAGTCTTGAGTCTGAAACATGTGTTTGAATTTCTGGCCAATGAGACAAAGCTCACGTGTTCTCAGCAGCCTATCAGAGCGCTTCCCCCTGACACATGCGGTATAAAACCCCTCCGCGCGCCTCGCCCTTCAGTCGTTAGCTCTCTGGACGCATCGAGTCTGCAAGAGAGTTTACCTAAGCTGATTTTTTTTCGCCGTCGTCATCCACCTCGTCCTCTTTGTATCCTAATCATGGTGAGTATGTGTCAAATCCCGCTGTATGAGGCTGTATTCCAGGGAGGATTAATTCACAATGCGTTTCTTAGATGACGCACGTGGTTTTATCACTTGTCTGAACCGGTTCATTCATTCAAATTAAAGCAGAAAGTAGAGCTCAATTCATACGCAGGGCTACTGTTTTAATTGGGGCGATATGAGAAAATCCGTTTATCACCATATTAATGGTTTGTCCACTTCTATTTTAATCAGAATTCACAAAAAAAAAAAATCCGGCCTGTACATGACGCACACTGACCCAAATAGCGGCAGCCTGTGCACCCTGATTAAGACCACGTCTGGCACCTGCTTTTGCTTCCCTTAAGTTCCGACTTAAATGAAGGCATTGGAAACATGAACCACAATTAACTTTAGATCTCATTCCTCGCTCATGAAAGTTCGGCTCTGTCACTAGTCCACGTTCATGTTGTATTTGGTCCTTCTGTCTGAAAAATATGACAAAGGGAAGGATATCCTCACGTCGCCTAACAATGTCAGCCGACTCTTTGGGTTCTCTCCAATGGAAGAGTAATTTGATTTAAACATTTTAAGACTGCATCTTGTGGTCAGATCGGCCTCAAACTATGTTCGAGACTGGAATAAACAAATGTAACGCAGATTATAAATGTTCAAAGGTGTAGCCCAGGCTTCTCCAACCTGTGGCTTGGTAGTTATCAGTAGCTCGCCACCCCTTTTTAAATGGCTCCAAAGGATTAAAGAATTTAAAACATGATCCTGAATTCCCATTTGACCTCTTGCATATCTAGTTAAACTAAATCTTTTAATATGGGGATATTGCACGCCATAATTTTAGATGTTATTTTGTAGACTATTGTATTAAAACTAGTAGCTCTGACCTTTTTGATTTTATAAAAGTACCTCTACGAACAAAGATTGGAGACCCTGATGCAGCCTTTCTAGGTAATGTCATGCAAAAGTTTCATAATGCCTAATATTCAGAAATTGCTGTTTACAAAAGATCAGGTGACTGTCTATTAATGTTAACGGAATTGCGTGCTCAACATGTGATAAGACTGCCTGTAGTCTTTTCTCATGACTTGATAAACCCATGAAAAACTAACTTTTCTTCCCCCTCAGCGTGAGTGTATCTCAGTCCACGTGGGCCAGGCCGGAGTGCAGATTGGTAATGCCTGCTGGGAGCTGTACTGTCTGGAGCATGGGATCCAGCCTGATGGACAGATGCCCAGTAGTAAAACCATCGGCGGAGGAGATGATTCCTACAACACCTTCTTTAGCGAGACTGGCGCTGGAAAACATGTGCCTAGAGCTGTGTTTGTGGACCTGGAGCCCACTGTCATTGGTGAGTTATTAACCTGAACTTGTATTTGTACTTAACAGTGTCATGAT